TATATATATATATATATATATATATATATATATATATATACACATATATATATATATATATCAGAGGTGTGCAGTGGTGTTCTGAGATGAGGAGGCAAAGTCCTTTTTAAAAACATAAATAAAAAATCTAATGTAAATTCCTGTCCCAGTAACATGTTCTTGGTTAAATCATCAATGAACTGACTTTAGCTGAAAAATGACTCTGTTATTGTCTTCTTGCATCATTGACAAACTATTCTCCCGTTTGACTCCGTAAAGCTGCTTTGACACACAGTATTGTATAAAGCGCTATACAAATAAAAAATAAAAAAATAATTAATAAACATTACTTACACTACCAGAACAACAAAACAATTATATTTGATATTTTTACATTAACAACGTATTGTGTTTATTAAAGCCAAGTATGAATCTCATCAAGTTAGTGTTTTTAAGCATTTTACATTTATTCCAAAATAATAACTGAAGGCAGTAACAATTTAAACACAGCTATTCTTTTTAATAGTTAACTTTAATCTATTTTTGAATTTTTCGGATCATCAGTCATCAAAGCTCAGTAAATATTGGTCACAGACACTGAGATTTACTATACATTTCACCAATCTGATTACTCACTAAAAACTCCCACAGATCATGTTTTCAGGCCATTTCAAGCCTTATTTTGACATAACAAAGGGATTATATCTAAGTGTGTGAGTTGTTTACATACTTTTTTTTAAAAGAGTCTTCCCATTAATGCCGTTATATTGTTCATTCAGACTGATTCGCGAACGTGGAACGCGCATGAACACAAGAGGCGGGATTTATCGCATCAACCAATCACAGCCGATCATAACCAGCCAGATCCAATCATATCACGATGGAGGCATGTCTCCTCTCACGTGATTTTCCCCCATTCATTCTCAATTACCCTCCACCAAACTCACTGCATGCTTTAGGGGGTCTGTTAAAAGGCAATGGGCTCAGGGGAGGCGAGAGGGATGCAGACCCCCTCTGTAACTTTACCCGCTGGTGTCGCTGTTGGACAGTGTTTCTTTAGAAAAACTAGTGATTTATACACTTTTTAATGTTAGGCTATATTTTGTAATATTGGCATTGTTTTATTTTTGTACAATTTTTTTTTTTCCAATTTTTTTGTAATATTTTGAGGAGACACTGCTTCCCTTGCCTACTCGGAGGAAACGCCCCACTCTGCAATATTACAATACAAATGGACTTAAAGTTGAAGTGTGCTATATTTTGACCAGAACACGCTAGAAACCAATTAACAAGAAGCCGTAGATTTACATACAGTAGGCAAACACCGGTCATATTTTCTCCTGAAATTAAAAAATGTAGTTGTTTTGCACTCTTTGATGCTGCTAGTGGAGTAGAAATGACACACTTCACCTTTAAGACTTAATGTCACTGGGTTTTGTTTCTTTAACGTAATTTTTGCACTATACACAGATCATTTTTATGCAGTGTGTCAATGGGGAGAGTGAGCACTGGTGCTGTTTACTTTCACTTTCGATTTCGCGATTGTGCACTCTGTGTATAGGGAGCTGCATCTTACGATATAAGATATTTGTCAATGAGCTCCGGATTAGAGACCTGCGTGGGACGGATTTTTCAGAAAAACTGGATATTGATCTTTTGATTTTTTAATGTTACAGAGCCCACTCATGGCGTTCACGCACTCTCCTGGCTGCATGTTCATCACCGATCAAAAGGCAGAAACTATTTCGCCCCTCACTCTTGAGCCAGCACATTGCCCTTTGACTTTCTGCATTTCCCAGAATCCTCAGCTTTACAGTATGGCTAGCAAAAGAGCTGTTCAACAAATTCGAGCAATTGAGGAGCTTGTTGTTGAAGACCCAGGTATGAAACAGCACACTTTTGACCCCCCAAAAAAGTATTCAAATGCATAAAGACACTTAAAATGAACAAACCTCTTAGCATTATACAACAACATATCAAACAGTGTCATATTTTAATAACCAGAAAATAAGTAGTCTTTAATAAAAGTGTTTATTCATGCACACTTGAATAAGATGAGTCCAGTCCTCTTCCAGATTCAGTAGTCTAATAAAATGGAATATATTTTATATTGAGTGGGTTGCTTCATGAAGGCAAACACATTGAGATCACACGACCAGTTGTTATTAGACACTTTCACTCAATTGTGGCTGACTGTGAAAAGCACATTTCTATTTCAAATGTTTTTAGTGACAACTGACTCAAATGCAATAAATAAAAAAAATAAACAAACAAACATAGACATGCATTAACAACAATATTAACTGTAATAAATAGAAAATACATAGAAAATAAAAGAACTAAATACATAGGGGTATAAACCAACATCATTAATTCCAAACTAAATACAAAAGCATCTAAGATGAATAAAAGTTAAAGACTTTACAGTAGTTTTCAAGATAATGATATTATCTCAGATTAAAATTGTTGTGCCGTTTGGTGACTTTTTGAACATGTATGAATATGATATTTAACTAAAATAATGAATTAATTGAGAATAAAACAAATTTTATTTTCTAAAGTTTTGTCATAAAAAATACGATATTTTATCTTCCAAAATAATGTTAGCTCCCAAAATCTCCCGTAAGAAAACATTAAAAATCACACTAGAAAAATATAGTACAAATAAGTTTAATTTTTTTTAAATAAAAGAATGAAGAAGAATACTCTAATAATATCAATGTTTTTCTTAAATCTGTATATGGCCTGGGTTACTGGGTAAATACAATGAAACATTTTAAAAGAAGTCATCTCAAATCTTACTGGTGACCCAATATTTACTAGATACCTTAAAAGGTACTTCCAAATAATATCCTGGAAACTTGAATTTCTACAATGGCATTGCAAACTAAAAATATTTGTTTGAGTAATGCTACATCCACACCACTAGGTGTAAGTGTAAGTCCACAACAACATAGCCATTTTTGTTTAGTAGTTGTGCACTAATTTGTACAGTAAATGTACAAATTATTTTTTGGGATCACCGTCTGCCATTGCAATTATTATTATTATTATTTTTTTTTACTGTAATGTTTTAACAAAATTTCATAATTGGACCTTCCAAAGAAGAAGTATAGATC